TCAAGATTCATGTAGAACGTCACAAAAATAATGCATCTTCCGTCAACGACCGAATCATTGTGCAGTGTATTAAAATGTTTCAGTGTTAATATTAAATGTAATATTTCTCGAAAATAGATAATTACCCAAAATGTTTGGTTAGATGTTATCTTGGAAATCCAGTATATTTCTAATTGAAATTCAACTAGTTTGAAGATAGAAACTTTTATAAAACAGAAACGGTCTACCATATTTTTTATCACCCAGAAACGGTCTCTCATATTTCTATAAAACTGAAACTGTCTTTCATGTTTATATCACCAAGAAACGATATTTTATGTTTTTATCACATAGTTTCATAAAAATAAAGATTCTGATTTCCAAAGAAGTTAGATTGAAAAATAAAACCTGCACCAGCAAACTTCCGGACATGAAATGCGAGCTAGCACAAGCTTCCGGTAATAAAACGTATTTTTATTAGTTTTTACGTTGGTAGTGAGGGTGAACACTTCGCTTTCTCCTCGCTTCAATCTTTTCATTAAATATAAAGATCATGGTTCATGAATTGTGCTAAAATACATGAGCGACTTATCAAATACTTCTTCCTTTTGTACATTTCTTAAACATTTGAAAGTATTCGGTTTCCCGATTTGATGTTATTACGAACGTATATAGATAGTGCCACACTTACTTCAAAGATTAAGTTTGGAACAGAAACATCAATGCATTTATTAATATATTTATCTGAATTTTTTAAATACATTAAGTATAAAAATCATAGCATTTAACACTGTCATTTAGTACCAATTAGTCGAGTTTTAATCAATTTTTTTTAGATGTACTACATCGAAATTATTCCCGGTTTACGTAAATAATGTAAAAAGATTTTGTTGATGCAAAAATACATGCGATGGAACATCTATAAACAGTAGTTTCAGACTCACTATTAGTAAACCAACTGACTTTAAACCGTACCAGAAACTACTGTAAAAAGTTAAAGGACAATATTTTATAGTCAATTGTTCTTCAAACAATCAACAGAGCGGCAATTAAAGTATATTTTATGGACGCTGATTATGAAGCGGTTTCATTGACAATATGTCACTTGTTATAATCCGTGGAACGTGAGTATCCAAAAATTTAAAGTGGTCAGAGTTTGGGACTAACAAAATGAATATGTCTGAATATAATATATATATATATATATAAAGCTAATAATCTTAAATAATCTGTATAATAAAAGTACAATAATAAAAAATGAAATTTAAAGTAATGAGCTTAAACGTATTCAATATTTTAACCAATACAATTAATGAAAGAAATAATATAACATACCTTATTTATGGAACACACAAACACTAAGTGTTGGCTTCAAGATCCGTAGCACATGTAATGTGTGTTGAACAATGTAACCTCAATCTAATCGGGATAAGCAAAATTTTCCACAATCCTCCCTAAAAACGTATCATAATGGTGAGTTAAAACGAATTACTGTTTGAGAATTATCTCAGGATTTATTGCAAGGTTAATCCATGACCTGCATGGTTTAATATTCAATATAGATCTATCACAGTTCTAGAAGTATGACATCAACAATATCCTACATCAATACGATATTTAGTCCGATTGCAATAGTGGTTCAAAAACCACGTCAATTATTTGTGGAGCACTAAATACGACCCTCGAAACTATAATAAAATCAATACTTCTGCTCACTCTGGTGTATCCACACGCCATACCTGAATTGCTACTGCAACAGTCATGTACAACAATGTTGCATTCACCTCTGGATCTCTGTACAAACAGGCATACCATTAGTAAAGACATGAAAACTTGACTTATTTGCAAAGAATACAGGCATCCATAGGTTTTGCTACTAATTTTAGAGATTGTAACAAATCTCCAAGCCAACATCTTGGTGCCAAAAAGTAAAAGTCGCCCGGGGGACTGCAGCTGGTCCTCTCGATTATAAGCCGGACTTAAGAATTCTATTCCTTTCCACTTAGTCACAGGTAGTCACTCCAGTAGCTGTCGTAAAGTTATGGTGATCTATAACAGCCATATTATAAAGATGGCGATCGTTACTTGGTGTAGGTGACCTTCCACGACCATGTTCAGGCTGTCTGGTGTACAGATCCTGCCTGATAACGTGTTCATAGTCTTCCTGTAGAGTTGGGTACAATAAAGTGGGATACCACTTGTCTATGTGTTTAAACAATTTAACAGTTCTGACAGTTTATAGTTGCATAGACATTTTTGCCCAACACCAGTAGGTAACGCTGGCACACAGTAATATAGAAACAATAACCAAAAGTCAAGGGATCGCCAGAACAATAAATCCACAAATAATCAAATCTGAAGATGAAATTAGGTTCCGTCTGTCCAGGACAGGTAGCACATACAAAACAATTCTGAAACAGTCGTACATTTTTAGAACAATGCAAATGAAACGTGTTTTTTTTTTCCAGGCACTATTAGATATTTGTCTCATTAACTGTTTGGCACAGTAAAACCTGAATAAGAAAATAAATTTATAAGACTATGTTTACTATTTTTTTAAATATTAACTAAGGCTCTTTAAATAATATTACCCCTTGTTGTCAGCATTCCTTCACTGTATGGCTCAAACAATGGATTTTCTGGGTTTTGGCAAACAATAATATTTCTTGTTCTGAAATTTTATAGTGTTCTGAGAGGCTAGACTTCGTTTATTGGCTATGCCTATTTTGCAATGATGAAAGTGAACGAAAAACAACTACTTTAACATAAAGCACATAAGTCATTATTACGGATAGGTATAGATTTCATATTTTGACTAGCCTTAATGTGAATTTTAACTGCCAGTCTCGATATCAAACTTCTTGCGCTCTCTCACATTTATACAGAATATCATTTAATTCATTCTGAAGACCTGGGGGGGGGGGAAGTATTCGTTTAAAAAGCCGTCCACTCAAATGGAATGTAACTGGTATTTTGTGATTTAAAAAAATAATTACATTGTAGGGAAAATACGAATTCAAATAACTGTGCATGTGCAGTAAAAAACTTCAATTCAATTACTTATTTCAAACTAAGGTATATGAAACATTATTGTAAGTACTTCATCTCACATGATCCACACAAAAAACATTAATGTGATTGAAATTTAAATAATTATACCACGCATATTGCAAATATCAATCTTAACTTTAAATTGATATAACAAATTATAACTTTTATAATGCAGTTTTTAGTTATGTCTTTATTCTGAGGTCTCTAATTGTAATTCTAGAACGACACTTTAAATTAAAACTTTGAACTGAAACTACAAAAAATATTTTAATTCAGAAAATGTAACTTTTGAACTAAAATCTAATTTTAATTTGGCTTGAGATTACACAAAGAAAGTTTGAAGTGAAATCACTGTCTGGCTCAAACAATAAATTTTCTATATTCTGGTAAACAATCATTTGTTGTTGTTCTGAAGGTAGGGATTGAAATTACTAAATCTAGATTCGGCTTCAGATTACAAAAAACAGGTTTAGAATTAGATTACTGATTAAGATATAATGAAGTTACTTATTTTAGGTTTGAAATGAGACTAATGAATTAAAATATGGATTAATATTACTAATTCTTGGTTTACTTGTAACAACTATCTCCAAGGTTAAAATATAATTGCTTAATCTAAATTTTAAATGGCAAACTTAATTCCAGAGAGTAGAATGAGATTACTGAATCTTGATTTGAAAGATATTAGTGAGTCTAGGACTGGACTGAGATTGCCAGTTGCAGACTTGAATAACATTATTGATCCAGATTTGGAATGAGACACCTAAATTTATGTTTGAAATTACGTAAATAAATCCAAGTTTAGAAAAAGCCTACTAAAGCTCGGTTCAGAATGATATTACTGAATAAAAGATTAAATATATATATTCACAAGTTGATTATTTGAAAAAGAAAATCTGCAAATTCATTAATCTCATGTTTGTTTCACAGTCCACAAACAAATGTTTCTCTTTGTTAATTTTGTTTTCAGGTTGTCCTATTATAAGTGCGAAAAGAACATGACTGGAGTGTTATGCATACAAGTTTAGAAATTAATAAACTAGGCTAAATAATTAAATACCCCAAGCTCTTTCTGAACCCATTTCCTTTAATTTGGCTTATTACACGTAGATAATTGGGTGAAAAATAACTTAATAAATAACTTTTAGGAGTTTTCAGAGTTGTTGTTTTTATTACGAAAACAGAGACACAGAGTTATTAAGAACATAAAAAATGACTATTAGAAGTGTTAATTTTAAATCTATCACCTAAGTTTAAGAGATTTTGGCCTTAGTTGTTGAGGTTTAAAAATCTAGTTTTATACGTCTACAAAATAAAATATAAGTTTGTGAGATTTTGGCTTATATTGTATATTTGTGTTAAAAGTCTTAGATATAAAGCTTAGATTTGAGAAGTTTTAGATATAAAGTCCTTAGAGGTCCTGAGTATTAGATTTAAAGGTCTTGGATATAAGATTTAAATTTCGGCGGTCTTAGACAATGATTGGATTGTTTTTTTGTTTTTGAATTTCGCGCAAAGCTACACGAGGGCTATCTGCGCTAGCCGTTTCTAATTTAGTAGTGTAAGACCAGAAGGAAGCCAGCTAGCTAGTCATCACCACCCACCGCCAACTCTTGGACTACTCTTTTACCAACGAATAGAGGAATTGACCGTCACATCAGAGAAAGTTCAAACATGTAGATGGAAAAATCCAAATGGTTCATATAAAAAAATGTTACTCACAATCCAGTCAAAACATTAACTTTATTGAGAAGAAGCGTTTAATATTACATATTATCTTATTTATTGGAAAATGTATCACAAACAGTACATTCTGACCAAAAAAATGTAGACCATCAACACTATAATACTCACATGTATCATAAAAACCAGTCGTTGGTTGGTAATGTATATCAAACTTTAAGATCTTTTGTTCTAATGTTTTGTTGATATTAGCTCATTGTTTTGTTTTTGAAAATTTTAAAGTTTGTGTAAAAGAAATTTAATTCTCGTCAGAAAAGAGGGAAAATATATCTATTAAGCTTCTTACACAGTAAAATGTCAGTAATAAAACTAATTTGGTTGATTTGAAAGTGCATTCAAAGTGAAAAATTGATATTTGTTTTTATGCAATATGTGATTTCCGTAATACGACAAAGTAAACCATTAGAGCTTTATGGACGTTAATAATACAGGTTGATCTTTGATATGTATGTTGTCTTTTCGCCGTACCTCACATAGTTCCAGTTTTGGTTCACCAGAAAACAGAATCAGGTATTCCCGTTAGTAGGGGGCGCGCGGGTCTAGAGTGGGATCGAGCAGAAGAGTAGAAATTACATAACGAATAAATCATTCGAGAGACGACATATAAAATGATTCAAAAACAATTAATGGCTATATGCTCATGAGAGAATACAGTCGTTTGTTTCATTATCACTGTTAGCGCACTCTCGTTTTCTCGATACTTTCTTGCTGACACGACGGATCAGACTGCGACTGCGCGGTTCACTTTTTTGAGACCCATCTTCGGCGCCTTTAGCTTTTCCACTCGATGCATGTGCACTTGAGCGCCGGTACAAGCTCGATGAATCTGACGGAAGTGGTATTTTAGCCAGAATGAGGAAAGAGCGAAAAAGCTCTTTGATGTTCATGCTGTCTTTTGCTGAACATTCCAAGACTTTAACTCGAAGCCGAGGGAGTTCACAAAAAACCCACTCAGCCACATCTTCCTTCAGTAATTCCCGGCGATCGCTAGGCACGTCCATTTTGTTTCCAACAACAACAATGGGAACTTCTTGGAAGTCAGTGCGCTGTTCTCGAATCTCTTCAAAGCATTTCTTTAGTGTTTCAAAGGACGCTTTACTATCTACGCTGTATATAAGAAGAAAGGCCTGAGCGTTGGCTATAGATAATCGTCGCATGGCAGGAAACTGCATGTCGCCAGCAGTGTCCAGGAAGTCCACTTTCAGGGTCAGGGTGCCTAGATCGAACTCCCGATAGTGCATGTCCTCCACAGTTGGAGAGTGCTTCTCACAATAGGTGTCGAACAGAAACCTCTTAAGGACAGATGATTTTCCTACTCCTGACCCTCCCAGCACCACCAGCCGCACTTGATAAGATGAAGTCTCTCCCATTGTTGGATCTTACACCAATAGGTTCTCTACATAAGAGAAGATGATAAACATTAGTCTCAAGTGTGAATAAAAAACACTTCCTTGGGGAAGGGGGATAACATTGATATTTTGAAAATAACACTAAAACATTTTTTTTTTACATCAGTGCTTAATCTGTACATGAAACAAACTGCACACGAATTAATTGTACATATAATAAATATAATATGCTTTTGCTTTTTGTCTTTGTTTTTTACAAGTAACAGCTCGCTCACTGGCACCTTCAAATATCTCACTTAAAATACAAGGGAATACTTTACAAGTAACATGTATAAATTAGGCATTCTCCGTGTTCAAAACTTTGTTGACAAGCTTTTAAACCTATCTTAGAGTCGTCACTAGGTCTATTGAAAATACACAAACAATATTAGCTTTAAAAGGACGTTGAACAATTCTTCAGGTCACCGTGTATAACAACATGATGACAAACATAACAATGAAGATCGGATAATAATATTTCAGATAGGATTAACAATATACAGCGAGAAAGACGTAATGTCAATAGAATTATCATTATCTCCCAGTATTTGTCAAGTAATCAAAAAATCTAAAGAACGAGCATTACTAGAAGCCGTATACAACCTGGCAAATGTTTACGTTGTGTACATAATACCTTTGCTATTTGGCAACATAGAGAAATAACATTACAGAATGTCTCCCTCGGATCCATTGGTAGTTATGTAGGTTAAAATATCTTTCAGAATCCAAAAGGGTCTCAAAGATAATCAGGAGTGGTCAGAAACTTCTATTTCTCTTCACCCACTTAGGTAATTAAGATTATATGACATGCAAAGATAAAGAGTTTTGGACGAACATGGGTAGAGTTTTTAATTAGAAACATAGATGTTTCATGTTAGGCTACATGATGGGACGTCTCATATCATCAGGAAAAACTGTGTTTTTGGAGATCAGGAAACAAGACGAAGGAAGGAGAGTTTGGATTTCTTGTTGATAACAGCTGCTTCTTGAAGTTGTCGAATACAGAAACGAGGATGAATGTTGATTATTGAAGAATGACCAAAATGTATTAACAGAACTAAACAGTTTTCAGCTCACAATGAAACTACAGATAAATGCGACGAAAACTTAAACTCACAAATGTATATCAGAACTACTGCTCTTCTCATGCGCCTCTTGTTAGGACCGGAATTATTAAATGGCTTGTGGTGCAAGCGGAGGAAGAAGCAAAGGGATCACTGCCCATTCACTTTTAATAACCTGAGCTCAGGTAAGTAATGTTTTTCATGTATAAATTAGCTCCCAATATTACAACAGTAACTTCAATTATTTACACCTATCTTTATTTTAATTGACCTTACTTTAATGAAATATAAATAATCATCGTATATTTGAACAATTAATGACAACGTTTTTGTTTTAATTACAAGTTTCAGTCAATAGTATGATCGTCGCGAAGAAATCTTCGAAACGTAAAGCTATAGAACAAGTAATAAAGCGCTGAAACAATAATAAATGTGTAGTGTGACAATAATTTCCTGCTAAAAACAATGCAAGTTCAACAATATACAATGTCCTTCAACTAATACAAATTTATGTCACAGCCTAATAAACAATATTTAACGCTAATAATCAAAATTAGTTTTTATAACTAAACTATAGCCTAATTTTAAAAGAAGCTTAATCACTAATTAAGTTCCGTAAATCAACCAACAACATCTACAGCGTTAATTACAACAGGTAGTTGAAGCATGTCTGTAATGAAAGATTCAATCTGAAAACTCGATTAAACAAAAGTTTCTGTTGAACTTGTTTTAATTAAAAGGTTTTACGTCAAGGCAATGAAAACTATCAACATCCACAACAAAGTACAGAGTTTACCAAAGGATGAAAATTAATGTGTAATGAAGTTATTATATTATGACTACTACCACATATAATCAAATTACTTTCTTCTTCATCGTTTATTAAAATCAATCTATAATGTGTAACCAGTAGTTTCACTGAGAGAATAAACCAAACCAGTAAGATGAGACGATCGGTGTGTACACCGACAAAACCAAAATGCGACCATACTCCGAGAACAAGTAAAATACATCCAATATACATTAATTGCCAAGGAGTTAATTAATGTCAGTGTTAATTTCTCAAGGACATTTTCTTCATAGAAATTCAGTTAATTAAATTATCCGCTGAAAATAATAATTTTTTGTAACCAATTTCCCGTATCCGTGAGCTAATATTATTTTAGTTCTTTCTCTTGTACATAAATATTGAGGCTTACTTACTGTTTACAATTTATATTCGAGGCAAATCACTTTACCTGAATGACTAAGACATTAATCTAGGTTTTACGCATATCAGATTAACAGTAATTAATGAACATAAAATTGTTCAGTGTTTCGACCATTTTACAGTCTCACAACTCTTTTATTTATCATTTCAACATTTATAAACATGTTTAGGGTTATATTTGTAAAAGATTACAGACTATTCAGAATGTAATTTTGTTTTGACTTTAAAACATATACAAACTTTCCTACTTTTTATCTGACTAAATAACGCACTTTTACTGGTAGGACAGAGCACTTATGATATTTCTTGCATGGAGTTACCATAATAATTTCTGATATATTTTGATATTAGGGAGAACAACTATTTTTCAGATAGAGACTTTTGCTGACGGTTAATTGTACTTTGAAAGAATGGTGTTCCAGATTCCATGCTGCCCTTAAAACTACTTCTTTCCTCATGATCATTATTACGAATTATCGCCTGACATTGTAACTGTTATTGTAACAACTACCTACGAAAGAAGGAGAGGTCAATCTTAGACAAAATTCACACAGTCTCGGTACGGTACGGGAACGTCGACTCACGAGTTACACTTTAAAGCAGAACAAAGACACAACAAGTTCGTTAAGACAGCATCAGAAAATCTGGCAAACGTGAGTTTCTATGCTTCCAGTTTCTTCAGCCGTCCCTTATGAAAACAGTCGTTGATTTTGAAGTGTGGTTGGAAGCTTGTGGGCCTTCGTTAACTTCAAATCCTTGTCTATTACATCTTGTTAATGGTACCAAGAGATGTGCTCAGATTCATCGTGTCGGCTCTTTGAATTTGAGAACTTTTATTCGTAATATAACCTTCATATATATAAAACCTATATTTCGCGAATGAAGCGCTGTTTCAGATTGAATTGGGGTGTGGTCTTGGCACCACGTCGTTTAACAACCTTACTATACAAATGTTCTTCTTCGAAAAGGGCTGTGATACCCCCATCGAGCCATAAGTCTACTCTGGCTGTATTGCACGTCGAATGGTAGATGATTCACAAGATATTTAAGAGCTAAATATGTCGCCAATGGCGCGACTGCTCACATCAGGGGCGACACCCTATTGTATTAGCATAAGAAATTCGCTGTTACACAATGCGATTAACTTTCTGTAGAAATGTAAGTTACTGAATCTGATGTAAGCACAAAGAAGCTATAACACAGACAATTGTGAAATAACTCGGTTTCCAAAGTTGTACGTGCTATAAAATAATAACAAATTACGTTAAACATTGCCTCAGATTAAATTCTTATGTATGCTTGGATCTATCATCAAAATTCTATTTCTAGAATTATGGCCAACAAACAAAAATTTCTGATAAAGTTATCAATTAAGTTTACAAGTCGTTTTCATTCGTTTTATCAAATTTCATTGCGTCAAATTCTTTTGTCTAACATGACTTATTTGTTTACAATTATTTTAACATAAATCATATTTCAAAATATAGAAATAAACACAAAATAATAATTGATAAACGTCATTAGTGCCAAATTAAACATGTGTATAATTTTTATACATATCAAAGTAAATTTAAAATGTAATAATAAAATTATGAATTTACTACAGATAGTGGCCAAAAAAATGGAAACGCCAATGTAAAGTCACTTAATAGGGTGTTGGGCCACCACTTGCGGCCAGTACGGCCTGTATGCGCCTTGTCATAGATTCTTCCAGCGTCTGGAATTCTGCAGGAAGAATGTGACACAACTCTTCCACGAGAAAGTCAATTAACTCAAGCCTAGTTGATGGAAGTGGAAAACGCAGTGTCAGGCGTCGTTCCAGAATATCCCATACATGCTCGATTGGGTTCAGATTTGGTGGCCGAGATGGCCATGACAAAAATGCAGAACAGAAATGCTGTAACATGGGGTGAAGATAATCACTCAGTGCCATTAAGTAACGATTGGCATCGACCTTGCCTTCTAAGGGTATGAGTACACTCAAACCATGACAGGAAAATGCGCCCCACGCCATTACGGAACCACCAGAACCTTTCATTGCTGGAACCAAGCAACTCAAGGCTGTAGTGTTCTTTAGGTTGGATGATTCATCTGACGATGTCACATTTCTCCACTGCTCTGTAATCCATAGCCTGTGCTCTTTACACCACTGGATACACAATCGTACATTGCCAAATGTGATGAGCGGTTTATGCATTTCAACACGACTATAGTATTCCGTTCTGTGGAGTTCTCGGAAGACCATTTTTGATGAAACTGGCCACTCTCGCCCCAGGTTGAACTTTGAGGTCAATTGATCTGCGGTTGCTCGCCTGTTTTGCTTTGCACTTTGAATTAATGCATAGACATCACGATCCTGGAGTATGCGCTTCCGCCTACTGTTGCCCTTTACTGATGATGTCCCTCCCTCGGAGTACCATGCTAACACCACCGTTGCTCGTGAAACATCAGCAAGAGCCCCTGAAAGTTTCATGGTGATCGTATTTTAGAAAAGTGAAGAAATTTTTGCAACGCATAGACAAACAGACACTAACGCGTATTTTCCCTGAATTCTTACCCATCTTGTTTTACCACTGTTTTTTTTTTGTTGTTTTTTTTCCTTTCTGGAAAATCATTTTTAACTCGATGTGACGAAGTATACACACGACGTACACGTGTCAGAACAGTTTCTACCCACGTAGTTTTGTATTGATTTTATAATCGTTCTGCTAACAAGAATAAAGTAAAATTTCAT